CACACACACACACACACACACACACACACACATACAAATACCAGAAGCATTGAAAATGGGGGAGGCTTTGCCCCCTGGCCTCCGCCCATTTCCCCCCTCTGCCGGCCCTCAACTAACATTACCAGAGCATCCTGGCTGTGTAGCAAGCAAACACCCCACCACCACCACACACACACCACACAATCAGAGCGTAGGTTTTACCACCCCTGCCATAAGGAGGGGAGACACTCACCTCCAGAAATCCTCTACCGTGTCAACCATGGTGACCTGGTGCAAATTGTCCTGCCAAGCCCGGCCACGGTCGCTCTTGAAGAACCACAGAACCCACCTGGCCAGGGAGAAGCAGAGGGCTGAGAGGAAGGCACCCCCCCTTCCTGGGCAAGTTAGATTTGGAACATAACCCTCCCCCCCACTTCTTTACCCTCTCCTCCTCCCCACCAAGGTGGAAAGAAGTGTTAAGGCCAGCTGGGTTAAGCTCCCAGAGAAAAAAGGGTCGCGGAATGAGAGGAGGTTGGCCTGCCAGCAGGGGTCTGTGCTCAGTTGCGCAGTCCCTCCGTACCTGTTCTGCAGCGGGTGCAAGTCTAGCTTGACCTCTGCCAGACCCTCACCCCGAGCCCTCCTCCTCCTCGGCGTCTTGGGACAGCTCTGAGCCTCCTGGCGCTGATTCTCTTCCTCCTCCTTTTTCTCTTCTTCCCCTTCTTTCTTCTGCTCCTTCTCCCATTCTTCTGGTCCACCCTCAGCTAGATCTGCCTAACCCACAAAAGGAATCGGGGTGGGGGGTAAGCCACAGTCCTAACTGTCCCCGCAACACCCGCTTTTGTCACACACACCCCTCCCTGCTTGGTGGCTTGTTCTAGAAAGGGGACAGGCAGATGGACTTACAGAGCTGGAGGTAGCCATACCCAAGGCCCCAGTTTCCCAGAATACAACAGCTAAAGAGGCCGCAGCTGCTGGCTTTTAACCCATCAGCCACACTGCGACACCTGAGCCCTGGTGCATGCAGGGAGAGGGCCTGGCAATCAGAATCCTCCTATCAATAAGGAGTTAGTGACCAGGGCCCTGGCTGGAGCCAGCTGAGACCAGGCAGGCTGGCCTCTCTTAGTTGGAATTGACAAAGGGAAAGCTGGGCTGTGGTGGCTCACACCTGGAATCCCAGCCACTCAGGAGGCTGAGTTCTGAGGATCATGATCTGAAGCCAGCCCGGACAGGGAGGTCTGTAAGACTCTTTTCTCTCCAAGTAACCATGAAAAAGCCAGAAGGGGACTGCGGCTCAGGGGGCAGAGTGCCAGCCTTGGGTGAAAAAAAGCTAAGGGACAAAAAGCCCAGGCTCTGAGTTCAAGCCCTAGTACTGACACAAAGGAAGGAAGGAAGGAAGAAAAGAGGAAGGAAAGAGGGTAACTGTCAAATTTTAGGGTCTACCCTTGCATTTACTTTTTTTTTTAGCTGACTATTTTTTTTCTTTTCTAAAAAAACAAATTATTATTTTTAAGTAGTTGTACAAGTCTCAGTATAGGCGCAACACACACACACACACACACACACACATCAATATTGAAAAAGAAAATACCTGGGGTATAGATCAGGCAGGGTACTTGCCTAGCAAGCATGGAGTTCAATTCCTTGTTCCACCTGGAAAAGAAAAAAAAATACCAATTCTAGTCTGGTGTGATGGAACCATCCTGTAATCCCAGTTACTCAGGAGTTCTCAGGGACAGGAGGGTTACAATCAAACATGGCCAGGCAAAAAATAAAGGGCTCTGACTGGAAAAAAAAATGAAATTAAAAACAAGCAAACAGAAAAAAAAAACCAATCAGTAAAAGCACACCTGTCATCCTAGCTGCTCAGGAGGCTGAGATCGGAGGATCGTGGTTCAAAACCAGCCCAAGCAGGAACATCTGTGAAACTCTGATCTCCAATAAACCACTCAGAAAACCGCAAGTGGCGCTGTGGCTCCAGTGGTAGAGCGCTCGCCTTGAGCTGGAGAGCTGAGGGACAGCGCCCAGGCCCAGAGTTCAAGCCCCATGACTGATTTAAAGAAGAAGGAGGAGGAGGAGGAGGAGAAGTTTGAGAGACTCCATCTCCATCAATGGCTGGGTGCAGGGGTACATTCCTGTCATCTCCAGTAACATGTGGAAACATGAAATAGGAGGATCACAGCCCAGGCTGCCCAGGAAAAAGAGCCAATGCCAAAAGGGTCTGGAGGCATGGCCCAAGGGGTAGAGGGCCCTAGGGTGGCTTCAGTCTCAGCCCCTGTGATGCTCACCACACCCACGGGCAGGAATCTGCCTTTGGGAGGGGCAATGGAGCCTGCTCTCAGGTGAGGTCCATCCGGGTTTCCAGCCAGGCTCACGGGGGCGTGGGGCAGAGGATGCCGGCTGTAGCTGGGCCCGCAGCTGGAGACTTTGGCTGGAATGGCCTCTCATATGGCAGAAGCTGCACAGACCCACGGCCAGGGACCTGGCTGGCTTCCACCACGGGGAGGCCAGAAGCATTCAGGATGAGGCTTTTTGTTCTGGAAGGGGGCTTGGGGAGAGATGGTGGAGGAAGGGAGGAAGGCCAGGGTGGGCATCCCGGCCTGACGCTGGCCTGATGCTGACTTTCCAACCACATACTCCACCCCCCACCCCCTTCCTTCCATTCTCTATTTGCCTAGCAACCCCTGGAGTCTGGCCTTGAGACCCTCAAATGACATCTGTCCTTACTAGCTTCAAATCCAAGGCTCACCTTTACAAGGCTTGAACTGACAGAGGCTCTGTGTGTGTGCCTGTGTGCGTGTGCCAGTACTGGAAGACTTGAACTCAGAGCCTGAACACTGTCCCTTAGCTTTTTCCACTCAAGGCTGGTTTGAGCCACAGAGCCACTTCTGGTCTTCTGGTGGTTTATTGGAGATCAGAGTCTCATAGACTTTCCTGCCCGGGCTGGCTTTGAACCATGACCCTCAGATCTCAGCCTCCTGAGTAGCTAGGATGACAGGCGGGAGCCACCCATGACCAGCACCCTGGTTGGCTTTGAATGAAGATTCTCAGATCTGAATCCCCCGAGTAGCTAGGATGACAGAGGATACAATATACCAAGTTCTCAGGAGCCCTTCTCCCCCCATCCCCAATGTCTGTGTGTATGTGTATGATCTGAGATCCACAAAATGAATTCTTGGAAGGGCAGGTTATTGGCTCCAAAAAGGAGCATGCATTTATGCGTTGGGTAAACATTGCCAAATTGCCTTCCAAAAAGAAAATCTGTGCCAACTTGCAGAGTGCCAGACTTGGAGAGACTGGCTACTGCGTCCCTCCCCTGTCATTTACACACCCAGTGTTCCTGGCCACAGTGCCTTTGCACGAGCTGTACCTACAGCCCGAAAGTCCCTTCCTTCCTCTAATGTGGACAGCCGGGTGTCAGAGGCTCATACCTGTAGTCCTAGCTACTCAAGAAAGAGGCTGAGAGCGAACGATTGGGGTTTAAAGCCAGCCTGGACCAAACCAATGAAAACATTAAAAAAAAAATCTGTGAGACTCTTAACCTGTTAACCAGCAAAAAGTGCAGCTCAAGTACCAGGGGGTCAGCCTCGAGCTGAAAAAGCTAAGCAAGATCCAGAGGCCCTGAGTTCAACCCCCAGCACTGGTCCCCGCAAAACAAAACTGTCTCCTCATCTCTCCATCCTGGTGGGCTAGGAACTGCCCGCCCTGTCAGTCAAGGCTCAGGGGGCGGGCCCAGGGGCTGGCGGCTCCGTGGGGCTGTCACCCGCCCCGGCCCCTGCCAATCAAGGCCGAGGGGGCGGGCTCAGAGGCGGCTCCGCGGGGCCGTCACCCTCCCCGCCCCCTGTCAGTCAAGGCCGCGGGGGCGGGCCCAGGGGCGGCTCTGCGGATCTCCCCCCGCCCCCTGTCAGTCAAGGCCGAGGGGCGGGCCCAGGGGCGGCTCTGCGATCACCCCTCGCTCCTGTCAGTCAAGACTAACGGGGCCTACCCAGCGGCGGCTCTGCGGATCACCTCCCGCCCCCTGTCAGTCAAGGCTGAGGGGCGGGCCCAGGGGCGGCTCTGCGGATCGCCCCCCGCCCCCTGTCAGTCAAGGCCGAGGGGCGGGCCCAGGGGCGGCTCTGCGGATCGCCTCCCGCCCCCTGTCAGTCAAGGCCGAGGGGGCGGGCCCAGGGGAGGCTCTGCGGGGCTGTCACCCTCCCCGCCCCCTGTCAGTCAAGGCCGAGGGGCGGGCCCAGGGGCGGCTCTGCGGATCGCCTCCCGCCCCCTGTCAGTCAAGGCCGAGGGGGCGGCGCGGCCGCCAGGGGGGGGCGCT